AGTTTGCCACGCCCACTCTAACGAGACCAATACATTTCAGTTAAAATTTTTTATCTAGCATAAAAATTGTGGGCGTCACAGGTTTTCGCGGTTTGTGGGCGTTAGAGTGGGCGTGGCATATTCGCGTAACAAATTTGCGCTGCGTATAAGGCTACGAAATCTAAATCTGAAATCCCAATTCTCTATCTTTGATAGTTTCCGAGATATCCACGTTCATATTAACGATTTTTTGAAGTTTGTGGGCGGTTTATGGGCGTTAGGGTGGGCGTGTCAAACTTTTTTTTGGGTCAATCGATAGGAATTGATGAAAACATTACATTTCAGTTAAAATTTTTATTCTAGCATCAAAACTGTAGGAGCCACAGTTTTGGGCGTTTTGTGGGCGTTAGAGTGGGCGTGGCACTCTACTGAAACAAACTTGCGCTGCGTAAGAAGCTCAGGAATCTGCACGCCAAATCTCAATAGCCTGTTTCCCATAGTTTCCGAGATCTCAGCGTTCATCCGGACAGACAGACGGACAGACGGACATGGCTAGATCGACTCGGCTAGTGATCCTGATCAAGAATATATATACTTTATGGGATCGGAAACGCTTCCTTCTGCCTGTTACATACTTTCCGACGAATCTAGTATACCCTTTTACTCTACGAGTAACGGGTATAAAAATCCAGAACAATCCTTTATTTGTAATGCATATCGAAAACAAAAATAATTTTTTTATTGGAAAAAAATTTTTGGCTTTAGATGTTTAACATATAAAAACTATCTCAAAGCAAAAAATAAGTGTGCTATGTATAAGTGTAGCCAGAGCATACAAATTTATCTCACCATTCCATTGGCTACGCATTAGGATCTGATGTATCTTCCCGGTGGCCCCAAACAATTCATTTTAATTCAAATCAAATTTCAACTGTGCATTTATTAAAAATATAGTTTACACTGGGCGGCATAAGTATTTTGACGTAACAAAAGTTTAATATAATTATAATTTGAACTTACTTCTTGTAAACTTTGGCATCAATGGAAAAGTAATTTAAATGCCGTTTGAATGATGGAATACTTTTCTTAACCCATTATGTACTTATTGAAACTTTCGAATTTGTGTGAAAATCTACTTTTTGAACTTTTTCCCTCGTCTTGAAAACTTAAATTTTTTGATGCAAAAAGTTCCTCCAAACAAAAATAACACTAACTGCAATAAAATCATTTTGCTTGTATTTTAAATGATTTTTTGAAGGTAGCAATGTACAAAATTGAAAAAATTTGTATGAAAAAGAGAAAAATATGGCTCAAATGCATATATGCATATTCGAAAAATCATTAAACAAATAAGGGCATATCCGCCAAATGGCCAACCAGGACCGAATCAAAAAAGTCTTCATAATTATCGTACTTTTTGCGTTTTTTCATAAATAAATGCCCATATTTTAGAAATACTGTGGAACTAAAGCATATTTCTTTTATTTTGTTGAAGAAATTTCCCTTAAAACTAAATAAGTGTACTTTTTTAATTTTCAGCTACTTTTAAAGGCATTTTTATGTTTATTTATGATTTGTTTACACATTTTCTACCAAATCTCTTTATTCCAATCTAATAAGAAGATAAAAATCCAAAGAGTGCGAAAAAATGTTCAATTAACTGTTAATAAAAACAAAGGAAAGATCGTACGTTCGCGACCGGTACTTTATTCAATAAAAAAATACAAATGGAGACATTTCCTTGGGAACAGACTCGATATAAAGTTACATGATTCCATTTTAAAAGTAAAGTTATTGCTTTAGAACATTCCGTCCCAATTCGAAGATTTTTACATTTTACAATATTATGAAAATGATAGCTCAATAAACACCATCATTAACACTAAGCGAAGAGCTAACAAAATGCTATCGAACAGCAAAAAAAAGTTCAGAAAACGTTTATTTTCTTTTTTTTAATTTGCACTAAATGCGTACGAACGTACGTTGGCGACCCCTGGAAATGCCCATGAGCAAAATGATTTTTCAAACAATTCTTTCTTCAGTTACTATTATTTTTGTTTGAAGAAACTTTTTGCATTAAAAAATTTAAGTTTTCAAGACGAGGAAAAACGTTCAAAAAGTAGATTTTCACACAAATTCGTCCTTTTCAATAAGTACTGAATGGATTAAGGAAAGTATTGCATCATTCAAACGGCATTAAAATTACCTTTCCATTGATGCCAAAGTCAAAGTACTTATGCCGACCAGTGTATATCGTCTTAACAACGCCGTTTTGGCCCGCCGATGAAAATTATACACAGGGGCAACTGGAGAAGGTGCAACGCCATATGTGGAATATGAAAAAGGCAAAGGGATAATTATTAAATACAGTTTCTCCAGTTAATTTAACTGGCGAAAAAACCCACATAACATTGCCCACTTTTTTAAAGTAAAAAAAAATAAAAATCGCTCTAGTCGATATCATCGACAATCAAACACCCAATCCTCAGCTCAGGGGAGTGAGAGGGAGATTGAGATATGCAGCAATGCGACTGTTCACAGTTCCACAACGGCGCCACCTAGCGTCGACAATTTATGGCATGAAAATAGGTACTATAATCAAAAAAAAAATGCATTTACACTTTCACAATGTCTTTAAAAATATGACAGCTGGACAGGGTTGATCGTGGGCGTGGCCGCTGAAATAAACTTTCGCCGTCTCAGAACCTCAAGAATCTGCATGTCAAATACCAACTTTGTACCTTTTATGGTTTTCGAGATCTCCGCGTTCATACAGAGGAACAAGCAGACAGACAGACGGACATGGCTAGGTTCGACTCGGCTTGTGTTTCTGATCAAGAACTTTATGGGGTCGGAAACACTGCCTTCTACCTGTTACATACTTTCCGACGAATCTAGTATACCCTTCTACTCTACGAGTAACGGGTATATTTACGAAAGGTCTGTTTTTTGGACTTTAAAATATATCAAAAACTCTTCTACTGAGAAAACTTTTTCGGAGACACCAAAAAAAAGTAATTAACCGGTATAACTGGTGGCAGGGTCATCAGAAGATTATATTGTACATTATGTATGTTAGTGTATCTCAAAACATACTACTTAAGCAAAAGAATTGAAAAACAAAAAAAAATGTTCGTTTTTTAATTTAGTAAAGAGCAATATTTTTCAACATTTAAAAATAAACAAAAGCCAATTTTTGTAACCTTATATTGCTTTAAATAAATGCAAAACGTGTGTTGGCTTACATTTTTTCATATCTCGAAAGGATCACATAAAAGGATAATTACAACCCTCAGATCTACTCAGCACTGATCTAAGTTTAGGGTATGAAGGTCTTTGGCAAGGATACTTACCCAGTAGCCTTCCGAAAGGCCATGTCAAGTGCTACGTACAAGTTTTTGCGGTTAGAACAAATCGGTTAAGTTTTAACGAAATAGCTATTAAGAGCACAAGTGTGCCAAAACTTTTGTGCGGCTAAATCTTCTCATATTTTGGTTTTTTAATTTTTAAATTTAGTTTTAAGAGATAATTCAATGAAACAAAATTAATTTGATTGGTAAATATTCCCATTATCCAAAATAATGTTTTTTAATTTTATAACACATTTATAAAGGTAGAAAAGCGCAATTAAAGTTTAAGATACTAGAGGTGGAGAAAACATCGCTTTTCCGATGTTTTAACAGGCAAACATCGATGTAACATCGAACAACATCGATGTTTCTGCACCTCTACAAGATACTCTTCAGTTCTGCAGTAGGGACGTGGTGACATGGCTCAAGGCAAAAAGCTTTTTTGTTTTTTTTTCTGTGCCTTAAACGCTATGCCGCTGTTGACGTCAGCAGAGAAGTCGGCGCAGCGTAGAAGACTGCCTACGAAAACGATCGTGCAACAAAGAGAGGCAGATATTCGGAAGTTCCCTCTCTTTCGTTGTCTTATAATCTGCCTGCACTCGGCGCTCTCAGAGACAAATTTCGGCCGATCCGTTATTTCTTTTGCGTCTCTCCGTTATGTTCTGCTAGCGACTAATATTTCGGCGGAAAAATTTACGTGGCGCAGCGACATGTGAATGTCCTAATATTTTAGGAGCATTATTGTATATCGAAAAAAAATAATATTGTTTTATAAAAATAAACTATTTGATTATAGTAAAATTAAGTAAATTGAATTTACTTATAATGTTATGTTTACTTATTATACATTTTTATTACAATATAATTTTTTAGTTTAGTTTTACAAATTTAGTCCGTTAATATTGATTTAAATAGTTAAAACATTTTAATATAACCATTTTTAAAAAATTCGTATTGTATATTTTACTTAAGAAGTAAAAATAATACAGTCGGATATTTTTCGCTTTAGAAAGGGTATAGGTGCAGTTGCACGCGGCAACAGCGAAGAGAAAACAAAAGAAATTAAGTAAAGGGATGAGAGGAAGACTTCATTATTAGTTCATTATAGTTATTGAAAGGGAAGCAAGCCATTTAAATTGTGTGAAACACAGCTCTAAAAGGTAAATATGCAAACAAACAAATAAAACGCATTTTTTTAACATATGCCCATACATTTTTTCAGGAGCGTTGGCCAAGGATTCAGAGTACCCGGACAAAGGTTTAAGGACGGCGATGACCAATGTAAAAGCAAATTAACGTAACATAAAACTAGGATTACTAACCATAATTTTCCTTTAACAGAAAACCTAAATAACATTGTTAAATTAAAATAAATGTAAAAGTAAACAAAAATTTATGTATTTTAAATTCTATAAGTGAAAACTCATGGGAAAAATGCTGATTTTCACAAGTGATTTCACTTGGGAAGTGTCATCGGAGCGTGACAGGCCATACGAAAAATGAGTATAAGGAACAAGTGAAATCCCGTGGGACTTCGAAAAATTTTCATTTGAATTTTCACTTGTGATAATGCGGACATCCCAAATAATTTTCTATATGGAGCGTCACTTGTTCTTCACTTGTGCAAGAGGACAGGTCCCACTGGATTCACAAGGTGATTCACAAGTGAAAATTTTTTTTTTTTGAACTGAAGGGTATATTTACATATACATACAAAGGTATTTAAGCTTTGATGCCAAAGCAAAAAAAAACTCATGTTGGGCATGCCTTAAAATAACTGTTGTAGTGGCGCCTTGTTTATTTTTTAAACTTCAATATATGGTTAAAAACATGTCCGAAATTAATTTTGTAAATTCTAGTACCTGTATATGCCCTTCTACCGTGTTGTAATTTCTTAACCAAGGTTACATTTTTGTAACATAAGGTTGTCAATAACTTTTATTTAGACAAAACTCAAATTTTTAATGTTATCAAATTTTTTATAGAGGTATGTATATCTTATTTTCCTGTATATTAGTCCCTCTAATTGGCAAAGCGATGCATTTTATTTGTGTCGAACATGAATGCTTTAAAACATAAGATGTGGGCACGCAAATACACAACTCAGTAATTGGCCATTGAGGGCTGACAATGCCTTTTGTATTCCGAAAGGGCAAGTAACTGTGCCGAAACCAAAGGGTATTATAATAATTACACATATATACATTGTATTTATAAACATACTTTACAAGATAAAGCAAGTCGAAAAATGTAGGTGATTGCACATGTACAGTGCAAACATATGTATATGTAAACTTATGATTTGAAATATAAACCTTCAAAAATGCTTTAACATATTAAAAAAATATAACAAAATCGAAATTGAAACTTGTTAAAAAAAAGAAAATTTCATTGATCAATTCGAAAGCGCAAAGCTTTCAATTTTAAGCAACACCTCATTAATATATATTTCGTTGAGTGCATTCATTTTGAAACCATGTGACAAAACTGGATCAATATTTTCGCATACATTTTCTATATTTGTATATGCATAGGTGTATGCATAGATACCTATGATTGTTTAGTTTGTTAACGCACCTGCCAATTGCTTTTTTAACAATAAAGATGACTGAAGTTCAGACATTGCAAGTAATAAAATAAATATGTATCTAGCTTTTTGATACGCGCCACGAATTTACACAAATAAAAATTGTTTTATTAAAAAACCTTAGCATTCAAAACTAAATACAACTATCGACCAAATAAATTTTAACAATTTCACAAATTGAACGAGAGTTCTAAAAATGGTATATAGAGTAGAACTAGTTTGCGAAACGATGAATGAGAATATTAACAACTTTTTGTATTTATCACAATGCGTATACATCATTCCCACAGAAACACATTCATTACAATCAAGGTTTTTTACCTAATAGCCGGCTCGCACTAAGATCTACCGGAAATTGGTTTGACGATTGTTCCCAAAGGTTTTGTTTTTGATATACACAGTTAGTCCACCCATAAACATCTGAAAATATTTCAGTGAAAACTACAAAATTGTCTTAAAGGCAATATGTTGCTAGTAAAAATGCAATTGAAAACACGTTTTTATGAGAGTGTTGGAAGAGATTATTTCATTTATTATTATCGTTTTGTATTTCAATTCAATTTAAGTTCTTTATTTTAATATACTAATAAATTAATTCTTTTAAAAGCCTATTACTCACATCGAGGAAAACCGCGAGCTAACCATAGGAGTGAGAGAGAGAAAAGGACGCCTAATCCAAGCTGTTGCGCAATTTTGTGCGATTTTATCGACAGGAATCAATACCCCAACGGGGCAAATCCACAGGATAGTTAAAGTGCTGGAGGAGATTCACTAGAGAATCCCAGTGGGAAGAAACATGGCACTCCACCTCCACAAGCTACTTGACAGCTAAAGCGGAGCTGGAGAACGCGCCGCTGGAGGAGCCATCACCAGCCATTACCAGGATGCTGGGCGACTTCCTAAAGCATTAGGCGGAACAACCCTGTTCCCAATCCGGCTCCCTTTTCCTCAAGGCCCAATATGCCTATTGGGAGTCGAAGCTGGACTACAAATGGCGCAAGAAAGATAGCGAAGCATCCGTGGGACGAGAAGGAAGCCTTAAACTTATAATTAACATAAATAAAAACATTCGTTGAACATTTTATTTATTTTTATTTAAATTTCTTGGTGCACCAGCAGACTCTTCTCTTTTGAATTGCTCCAATTGATTTGTTTTCCGTTTGGCAACAAGCCCAGCTGCTTGACAGTAAGACCATGCCACATGTTTTGCGGGTGAACTTTGAAAACTTCGGTCACACTAATCTGAGTACGATCTGAATACTAGGCTTAATACTCAAGCGACAAATAGCGTGTTTCATTTTTGGAATAAAAAGGATCAAAATTTACAATGACCTGCAAACAGAAGTATTAATTCTTGAACGGAGAACTACAGAACGAGTCGTGCAATACGTACTTAATAACTTATAGTTTCGACAAAGTTTAACGGAAGATCCGTAAGGATAGCCTCTACCCACAGAGATCCATGCACAATCCTCAATCCGTCCAACGGATGTCCATAATGACCGGCATTGCTTTGTTTATGTTTTAGTAGTTTTTTTTAAACGGATTCTTGTTCACATAGAGAATCGCTGAAGCGAACAGCTGATCGTCATAAGCAAACCATATCCGAAGGGAGATCAAAACTGAAAACAAATTAAACGTTAGCATGTGGAATATTTTAAGCGCCAAATGATTATTTCATTCTATGTTAAAAAAGATATGCTTTATTTGTTCTTTTTTCTATTTGCTATTGGCACAGGAGTAAATTTTTTGAAGCCTGGAGCAAAGCATTTTTAAAATACTACAAACAGAATACTATAGGGAGCCGTAGCAATATTTAAGACTATACTACTGCGGCTACTGCTCTCAGCAGTGCTATTGCAAATATTGAATTTTTCATTGGGATATTTTCTGGAAAACAAATTCGAGGCAATCTATTTGAAGCAGGGACCGTAATCCTTATGAGTTTTATTTTTATATACTTTAAAAATCATGAAGGTTATACTCTAGATGAGGGGACTCACCTGGTTCTCTTGTAAGTGAATTTGAAAGTTCCCGGCTTTGCTATAACAAACAAGGGTGCGTTTCTCATAGTTTCAACCAAAGTAATTATATTTTAATTAGTAGTTATAAAATTAATTAAATTGTTAAATGAGTTCCTATAAACCTAGGTAGGGTTTCAAATGAGTTCCTATATAAATCATGTAACCTTTTTTTTCATTTAATAAAAATTTTATTTCTCTATTTACTGAAAAAGCATATCCAAAAAATCATGATATACTTATTAAGGACACATGATTGACATCACAATGTTGTACCGTGATTTCAGTGAGGGCCCCCACCATTTTAATGCATTAAATAACACTCCAACAATATGTATCCTTAAATTTATTTAAATAATTTCAATAATCAATTTTCCGAACCACCATTGAGCTTATGTTCCAGGCTCATTTTTTTTACAGTGGTGTTCCCCATAGGCCTAGTCCACGTTGCAGATCCGAATGTATGACAAAGAGTGTCCTAATTAACAAATTACTAGAAATCAAAGATATTCCTTAGAAATCGCAACCCAACATGGATAATTTTTTCGCGAGTTTCGGCTGTGAGTCCCCTAATTTAGAGAATTACCAAAATCAATAATATCCCACATATGACACGAATACCATCATGCTTGTAATGTGTTTAGTTCAGATGAGTATGATTCTTGTTCCTTAAAATTCGCTGTTCTTAAAGAATTGATTTCAATATCAAGCCAACCTTTTTACTTAGTGATCAGCACAATCTAAAGATAAAGACGTTTATCCTTCTCTAAAGAATACGCGGCTAAAAAATTTTTTTTCCCATCTCGTTCTAGCACGTGTTTTTTTATGGATGAATTAGTCGCTGAAGCGGAATTCGATGCGGAAACCCTCTGTGTGTAAACAGGGTATAACGGACGTTATATGATACTTAGGCGATTTTTTTTTGGTGCAGCTGTGCATTTTTCTTCTCGATAGTGAAATGTCTGCGGAGCTTCACAGTTGTCAAAAATCCCAAACGTTGCCACCGGATAGACTCTGTGGGTAGGGTATAGCCCCACTTTTCTTACGTTGTGATGGGGAACTGCAGTTCACGTTAGCTGTTATCAGATGGTGGATATACTCTATGGGAATAGGAGTTTCACAATTGCCAAAAATCCCAAATCGTTCTGACGGATGAACTCTGTGGGAAGAGTCCCGACATTTTAATTTATTTACAGTCTCTGCAAAATCGCAGAAGCAAAAGGAAAATAACGTGCAAGTTGAGATTTTCCGATAAAAAAGAAAATAGAAACAAACTAAATAAACTTTGAACTTATCGAATGAACATGTGGAATGTTTTTAATATCAAATGATTTACTTAATTCTATTAATATATTTTTTGTGAAAAATTGAATGGGAACTATTGTGCACCAAAAGTGTCGGCAAGACATTTTTTACAATTTAGAACCCTTTAAAGCTTTATAAGAGACTTCGCATATATTTCTGTTTTACTTCATCACTTTGATAAACAACAAATTGGTCCAATTACGGGAGGTGGATGCGTCCTAAAATGGTTTCTTCTTTAGGTGGACATAAGCTGGATTTAGGTTATTGCCCTAAAAAAACAAACATCACTTCTTGATGAAATCATTTGCGGAGTTCCGAGCCGTTCAAAGGCTAACTGGTCCTGCACCAACATACATTTCATGTAGTACAAGTCCCAAGTACAGAAATTACCTAAACTCGCAAAAAAATTATGAAATACAGAATTTATTTGCGGATGCGTTACCATATTTTGCTGAAGAGAGTTGTAGCGACATTCCTTCATTTTTTGCTGGCACGTGTATTCCTGATGGAGGAAAAAATCGCTGATGAAGAATTTTGTTGCTGAAGTGTGAACAGACTATTAATATTAAGCTCATACCTCTCACACAGCCGCTTAAAATCATGGTTTCAATTTTAAAGCCTAGTACTCAGATCGGCTAAGAGTTTCACTAGTCGAAAAATCTTATTCTTTGGAGTATGACCGAAGTTTTCAAAGTTCACCCGCAATGCATGTGGCAGGGTCTTACTGTCAAGCAGCTGGGCTTGTTCCCAAGCCGAAAACAAATCAAATCTAGCAATTTAAAAAAGAAGAGTTTGCTGGTGCACAAAGAAATAAAAATAAAAATACATGAAATGTTCAACGAGTGCTTTCATTTATGGATGCTTCGCCATCTTTCCCGCGTCATCTGCAGTCCAACTCCGAATCCCAATAGGTATATTGGACCTTGAGGAAGTGGAAGCAGAATTGGGAACGGAGTTGTTCCGCCTGATGCTGCATGAAGTCTCCCAGTATCCTGGTAATGGCTGGCAGCTCCCTATATAAGCCGGCGCGTCCTCCATCTCCGTTTTAGCAGCCAAGGAGCTGGTGGAGGTGGAGTCCTTAACGGAGAGCTCGTCGGAGATCGAGCGATGTCCCATGTTCCTTCCCACTGGGATTCTCTTGTGGATCTCCTCCAGCACTTCAACTATTCTGCGGATTTGCCCCGTGGTGGTATTGCTTCCTGTCGGTCAAGTCCCACAATAATGGGCAACAGCCTGGATTGGGCGTTCTTTTTATCCTCACTGACCTCTTAAAGGCGTTTTCTTCCATTTTCAATTTTTAAATTCCCCACCGCTTCTACACGAACACCGCCAAAAATTAAATTTCTTATTCTTTGATCCGCGGCTAACGGCGTTCATCGAAATTCACTCGCGAAATCTGGTATTTTTCTGGTATTTCCTTAGCTCATCTGAGTACCGCGCTGAAAAACAGACCCGACGAAAAGCGTTAGCCACGTATTTGCCTCTCTCTCACTCCTATGGTTAGCTCGCGGTTTTCGTCGATCTGAGTACTAGGCTTAAGCAGATTCTTGCTGACAAAGATAATTGCTGAAGCGAACAGCTGATCGGCATAAACAAAGCGTAACCGATGGGAGAGGACGAGCAAATTGAGTTCTTTTAGTTGTGTTGTTTTTATTCAGTTTTTTTTACGAGCTTAGTTATTGAAAAGGAAATGTATTTGGACTGTCGCCAAGTCCCTTCTCAATATACATTACGGTTGTAGAGCAGAAGTGACTTCAAAAAGTGTCGCCAAAGTAACTTCTGGAAGTCACTCTGAAATTACTACAGTCGCTTGTAGAAAATAACTCGAAGAGCCTTTCTCAATTGAAAAATCTTGAATAACAAAATACTATTGTACTCCATTTGCAATATTTTGCATTTATTTTTCTTATATTGGCCTTGTGCGTTTGTATAAACGGCCCCTGGAATGTATGAAATGCTTCTAAACAGCTCCGTTGACATAAGATTATTACCTTTTAAGCCTAGTACTCAGATCGGCTAAGAGTTTCACTAGTCGAAAAATCTTATTCCTTGCATTGTGACCGCAGTATTTAAAGTTTACCCGCATCGCATGTAGCATGGCCCTACTGTCAATCTGCGGGTTTTGTTTTATTAACAAACAAAAAGTTGTAGGATTTTGAAAAAACGAATCTGATGGTGCACAAAGAAATACAAATAAATGGAATGTTCAAAGGATGTTTTTATTTATGTTACTTAGTAGTTTAAGGCTTCCTTCTTTTGTCACGGATGCTTCGCCGTTTTCTTCGCGCCATTTGCTGCCCAGCTCTGATTCGTAATATGCCAACACGGGCCTCGAGGGAGTGGGAGCCAGATTGGAAACGGGGTCGTTACGCTGATGCTGCAGGAAGTCGCCCAGCATCCTGGCAATGGTTGGTTAATGGATCCTCCAGTTGTCCCTTAGCGGCCGTCTTTTTATCCACCCTATAGAAGCTGGTGGAGGTGAAGTCCTGTGATTCCCCAATGAAGACCTCGTTGGAAATCTTATTACTGGTGGTTCTGCTAAAAATATACTTCTATTAGTACAACGTTACCAAATTGTTTTGGCCAGAACTTACATTCTTTACGAGGACAAGCCCGGCAGGATGTCCATATAGGGAGCGAAGTCGCACTCGGCATGTTCTTCCCACTGGGATTTTCTAGTGGATCTTCTCCACCACTTCAACTATTCTGCGGATTAGCCCTGTCAATACCACAATAATGGTCAACAGCTTCGATTAGGAGTCCTTTTTCATCTGCATTGACATCCTGCAGGCGCTTTTGGGGCTTTCCTTCCATTTTTTTCGTTTCTATATCGCGTTTGTACAAACACCGCCAAAGATTAAATATCTTATTCTTTGGGCCGCGGATAACGGCGTTCATCGAAATTCACTCGCTAATTTTGTAACTTTTTTGGTTATGGCTAGCTCGCGGTTTTCGTCGATGTGAGTACTAGGCTTTATATTCAAATGTGTGGAAAATCTTTGGATGCCGGGTTAGCCCGCAGTTACACGCCAAAATATGTCCACAGTTAGCTTGACCGTTGAAAAGCCCTAGGACTTACATCGACGAAAACTGCGAGCTAGCCATAGGAGCGAGCGAGAGGCTAGTACGCGGCTAACGCTTTTTGTCGGGTCTGTTTTTCAGGCGGTACTCAGATGAGCTAAGGAAATACCAAAAAAATATTTAATTTAGCGAATTTTGAATTTCGATAAACGCCGTTAGCCGCGGCCCATAAACAAAGAAATATAATCTTTGGCGGTGTTCGTGCAAAGGCGGTCTGGAAACAAACATGAAATATGAAAGGAAGACACCAAAAACGCCTAATCCAAGGTATTGCCCTTTATTGTGGGACTTCACCGCCAGGAAGCATTACCATCCCCAGTATAGTTGAAGTGCTGGAGGAGATCCACTAGAGAAGCCCAGTGAGAAGAAAAATACCTATTGTAACTTCGTTCCCTATATGGACATCCTGCCGGGCGTGTCCTCACAAAGAATGTAAGTTCTGGCCAATAGAATTTGGTAACGTTGTACTAATATAATTGATTTTTTGCAGAACCACCAGTAATACGATCTGCAACGAGATCTCCATTGAGAACTAGGCAACTCAAGCGGAGACAGAGGACGCACTGGCTTCGATAGGGAGGAAGGAAAAAGGGCGGCCTCTAAGGGACAGCTGGAGGAGCCATTACCAGCCATTGCGAGGATCCTGGGCGACTTCCTGCAGCATCATCGTCAACATCACATTCTAAATTTTACAACATATAGGAGCAGATAATAAAACTTAAAAAAAGTTTTTATAACGATTCTTTAACCAATCCAATAAAATATCCTCATGAAATTGCTTTAAACCGAAATTAAAGAACACAGTAGACAATAGATTTCAAGAAAATAAAAATTTATTTCACTTAAGACTTACTTTTTAGGAGCCGTTTTCCATCAGAGGAAATAGCAAAAAAGTAAAGTTTTGATCTGCACAAACGAAATTCCATGCTCATACAACGTTAGTTGTTCTGTACTGGTATATGTGGTCATTTTTGTTGATCAGTAACTTTTAAACGTGACTTTTTACAACATTTGAAATGTAAAAAAAACTTTGTTTCATAATTATACTAGATTCGTCGGAAAGTATGTATCAGGTAGAAGGAAGCTTTTCCGACCCCATAAATTATTTATATTCTTGATCAGAATCACTAGCCGAGTCGATCTGGCCATGCCCGTCTGTCGGTTACTATTACTGAGTTTATGCGATGGCCATTTCACGCTTTCATTTCATGAAATGGTCTGATTCGTGTGTGCATAAACACCGTTTCATGAATTCGACAACACACGAAAGTTGACTATGAATTCAACCTCAAAGCGTGAAATGCGTAAAACATATACTATGTACTACATACATATACTATATTTATGCTAAGGGTTTCATGATTTCTTAAAAGCGTGAAATAAAATTTGTTCCTGTTTCTGCGACACGGCCGAATTCATGCATTTTATCAATCTCAGCTGATAGAGATGCCGGTGGAAAACGGTGTGTGCGATAAATCAATTATTTTAATCGAAAAAATAATCGGTTTAATAATCGCTAACACCTTTTTCCATTGGTCCGGCATCTCTATTATCAAATAATATGTTAAATGTAAGGTGTATTAATGTATTTATATCGATCTGGCAAATCCGATAATCATATACGGGGGTGTCACAAAAATCCCTTCCAACCAAATTTCCCCCGAAAAGCAAATCTCGGTATCACAGACGTCATTTTTGACGATAATTTCCCGTATTTTGACAGACGTTTTGATAAAATAATCCAACTTAAAAATCCTTTCCAAAAATACAATTTAATTTAAGACAACACTAATAAAATCTAAGAACTATCTGCATATGACATTTTGTATAGTTACTTCGGGTTGTATTTAAAAATAAGCATTTTATAAACCGTCTTCACAAAATTAGATTAAAACAAGAAAGGAAGTTAACTTCGGCAAGCCGAAGTTTGTTATAATATTGCAGTTATAATTATTAAATTTAAAAATACAAAAAATGATATTCCCAATAGTATAAGATAATATGTCAAAAAACACCAAAGCTACAATTTGTTTCATATAATTTTCACACCAATTTTCCGATTGTTCCTATGGTAGCTATATGATATAGTCGTCCGATTTTAATCAATTTAAATTCGAAATTCAGAACTAATTAAAAAATGTTATTCCAAGCGTAGGAGGTTTTATGTTAAAAAACCCCGAAGCTATAATTTGTTTCATATTATTTTCCCACCAATTTTCCGATTCCGTTCCTATGGCAGTCGTCTGATTTTGATAAAATTAAATTGGAAATTCAGAATTTATTAAAAAATGTTATTTCAAAGCGTAGGAGGTTATATGTTAAAAAACACCGAAGCTATAATTTGTTTCATATTATTTTCCCACCAATTTTTTGATCGTTCCTATGGCAGCTACATGATATAGTCGTTCGATTTTGATCAAATTTAATTCGAAAATGTTGTTTCCAAGCTTAGGAGGTTATATGATAAGAAACGATCCGGCTGGTTCCGACTTATATGCTACCTGCAAAATAAATAAGACTTTTCAGCCCGATAGCTTTACAACTGAGAGACTAGTTTGCGTAGAAACGGACGGACAGACGGACATGGCTAGATCGACTCGTCTAGTCATGCTGATCAAGAAAATATATTCCTTATGAGATCGGAAACTTCTCCTTCACTGCGTTGCAAACTTCTGACTAAAATCAATATACCCTCTGCAAGGGTATACAAAAAACCGTCTGTAAACCGTCCAGCCTGACAGTGGTACCAATTTGGTCCAACTTTAAAATGACAAATTTCGGAGTAGTAATCGAAATGTCGCGTTAACGAATTATTTATAGTACGGTTCTTAGTATTGTAGTATAAAATAAAACATATTTCTGGTAAAAATTTCATGGTAAAAAAATTGCAGTTATTGAGAAAAATGACAAAAACATGCCGCCTTTGCAAAAGGCGAATTCATGAAACGGTGTTTATGCACACACAAATCAGAAATGAAAGCGTGAAATGGCCACCGCATAAACGCGGTATGTATGAGCGCTGTGATCTCGGAAACCATAAGAGCGCAAGTTTGTTTCAGCAGAGTGTTATACCCACTCTAACGCCAACAAACGACTATAACACTAAAAACCGTCTAGCCCCCATATGTTTTTAATTTTGTTAAATTCATTATCAAAACCTATCTACATGCAAAAAATTGTTGAAATCGGACCACCCATTAAAAATCGTAACCCAAATTTTAAAAATATTTTGCAATCCAATCGAGATTTCACCCAACATGCAGCAAATTAGCTGTTTTCACAAATACGCTACCAAGCCGCTAGGGGCGCTGTAGGCCAAGTGGCGCTATAGAAGAAGAAGATAGGTACGAGCTATCGGGAATCTAATAGTCGAGTCCATCGACTATAGCGCTTTCACTTGTTTTTATCTACGGTATTTAAACAAGTCGTGCTAAAAAGGCGTACACAGTATTTCAAAATACGTTTCCAACGGCATAAAGCACATACATAGCTATTTATAGATGTTTTCGGTAATACTCTAGATTAGGGGACTCACCCCCTAAATTAGCGAAAAGAAATATCCTCGATGGACCGCGATTTTCTAAGAATTTACGTGCAAAAAGAACTTGGCGGTCGGACATGGTTCTCTTGTAATAGAATTTCAAAGTTCCCGGGTTTGCTATAAAAAAAGGGTGCTTTTCTCATAGTTTCAACTAAAGTAATTAAATTTTAAAATGTAGTTATAAAATTAATTAAATTTTTAAATGAGTTCCTATAAACCTAATAAGGGTTTCAAATGAGTTCCGATAGGAGAGGACGAACAAATTGAGTTCTTTTAGTTGAGTTGTTTTTATTCAGTTTTTTTTACGAGCTTAGGGGATTTTTGCACTTGGCGTTTCGGGATTTCATTGAAAACGAAATGTATTTGGACTGTCGCCGTTATAACGGCCATAAGAAAATTGTTATTGGTGCAGGTCCTAGGAGTTTATCAGCATCAAGGTGTTATAAATACTTAAAGTTGTCCAAAAAGTCCAAATTTGAGAAAGTTCTCGTAGCGTTACTTTTGATCAATATTCATTACGGTTGTAAAGCAGAAGTGACTTCAAAATGTGTCGCCAAAGTAACTTCTGGAAGTTACTCTGAAATTACTACAGTCGCTTGTAGAAAATAACTAGAAGAGCCTTTCTCAATTGAAAAATCTTGAATAACAAAATACTATTGTACTCCATTTGCAATATTTTGCATTTATATTTCTTATATTGGCCTTGTGCGTTTGTAGACACGGCCCTTGGAATGTACGAAATGCTTCTGTCTTGCATCATATGGAGTTGCCTTGTTAACGACTACCCCACACGCGTAGGTCCGAAGAGAGGGTGAACTTTAAGGGCGGCGTGCGCCTGGTGGCGCTCGATTGGTGCGATCGGGGCGATCGTTTTATTCTGTTAACAATTCAAATCAGCCTCATACATTTCAAACTAACTTAATCTTACCGCAGTGTGCCCTCCTACGATTCACAAGACAATGAAAAGCACAATTTATGGCGGCATCCATTAAACCGATATTAGTAGGCCCGCACTTCAAGGGCCAAGAAATCCATACGAGATCGGATAAATTAACAAATACTAGATTTCTCTTACAATACTTAGTCTACCTATCGATTACAATGTTCGACCGTCGACATCCCCGACCCCGTGAAGAACCGCTTCACTCAAATCCAAAACTGCAAGTTTTGAGACGGGCCGCAACATTGTCCGAGATAGGCCATTGTCGTTCACGCGCACAGTAGCGCGTCTGACGACTCCATCAGCTCCGCTGTAGACCTCCTCCACGATTCCCTTGCGCCACTCTCGTCTGGGCAAGGCAGGATCGCAGACGAAGACCATATCGCCCTGGCGGATGGGCTCCGTTCTCCGGCACCACTTCTCGCGGCGCACAAGCGTAGGCAGGTACTCCAGGACCCACCTCCTCCAGAAACGGTCTCGCAGCATGCGAGCAATCCTCCACTGCTTTCGCGTAGAACCCTCCTTGGGCAGCTCCGCATCCAATCCAGGCGTATTCGGCAGGTTAGCTGCTCCCTTGAGCAGATCATTTGGCGTCAACGGCGCCTCTTGGTCCGCATCCACCGGCAAGTGGGTGAGCGGACGCGAGTTGACTACATTCTCCGCCTCGATCAGGAAACTCTCCAACACATGATCCCTCGGCGCAACTTCCTTCAGGGTATGGCGCAGCACTCGTTTGACGCACTGCACCATCCGCTCCCATACTCCGCCCTCAGACGGGTTCGATGGGCAATTGAAATCCCATTCAATGCTTGTGCTGGACAACTCACTCTGTATCCTCTCCGTCTCGAACACGTCTCCAAATCGCTTGGCCTCCCTGTCAGCTCCCACGAAGTTCTTGCCGTTATCACTCCGCAGTCTATGTACTGGTCCTCTACGGCAGACGAAGTTCCTGATCGCTATTATGCAGGAATCTGTCGACAGGTCATGAGCCAACTCCAGATGAATCGCCCTTGTCGTCAAGCATGTGAACAAGGCGACCCAACGCTTCTCTCTGTGACGGGATACAGTCACCAGCAGTGGCCCAAAGTAGTCCAATCCGGTGTACTTGAATGGCCATCCTCCCGCTTCCAGTCGATCCTCTGGTAGGGGTCCCATTATCGGCGGCATCGGCCGCGTTCGCTGCAACTTGCACTCGTTGCACGACGAGATTACTTCCTTCAGCACTCGTCTCATCTTCGTGACCCAGAATCTCGTCCGAATCTGAGCAATCGTCGCATCCACGTTTTGATGCTTCATCTGGTCATGAAAGTGCCTCACAATCAATTCCGTAAGACTGTGCCTGTGTGACAGTATTACGGGCCTCCTCGCACTGTACGGCATGCACAGCGCGGCATCAACTCTGCCATAAACTCGCAGAACTCCATGTTCATCCACGTAAGGCGCCAGACCTCGAATCTCACTCGAGCTGGCGACGTCCTTTCCGCATTCCGCCGACCTCATCTCGTCGGGGAACGACTCCAACTGGGCCTGTCTGACTAACAGGTTCTCCGCGGCCTCACACTCCGATGCAGTGAGTCCGTACTCCTCGATCTCGCTTCTCTGCTTGCGACACCAACGCGCAAACCTGAAGACCCATGCTGTGGTCCTCACCAGGCGACTGAAGCTCGAGAATCTCTGGAACGGAATGGCAAATTCATCCGCGGCCACCAATGCAAACTCACCGGGCATCTCCTCTTCATCAGGCGCATCTGGAACACGCTTAGTTCCCTCCTCAGGCGCCGGCCAGCCGCTCGCTGGCTGCCTCAAAAATGCGGGTCCGCTTAACCAACGTGATTCCGGGCTAAGGTCCGCCTTATTCTGCGACCGCGTCGCATCATCCGCTGCGTTGTCAGCTGTAGGTACCCACCTCCAATGGGAAACCTTCGACGACTCCAAAATCTCCGCCACTCGGTTGCCAACAAACTGCTTGTACCGGCGGTGGGTGCTGCCGATCCATCTCAGCACCGTCTTTGAGTCCGTCCACAACACCGTCTCGCTGATGTCCACACTGTGCTCCTCCTGGACAGTGTTCATCAGTCTGGTTCCAAGAACCGCTGCCTGCAGCTCCAACCTTGGGATCGACATCGTTCTCATCGGCGCGCACTTCGTCTTTGCGCACACGAAGCTAACCATCACGTTGTCATCCTCGTACGTGACCCTCCAATAGGCCACCGCCGCGAATGCATCCATCTCCCTGCGCCAGGCCGCAAAGGCTCTGCCTATCTCCTCCGGTAGTGGTTCGTCCCACTGGATCTTCTGCCTCCAGATCTCTCTCAACAACAGCTTCGCTGTAATCATCAGGCAGCACAGGAATCCCAATGGGTCGAACGTTGACATCAGCAGGCTCAAATACTCCCTCTTTGTAGGGACTCGATCTCCACTTAGAACGCTACTTGGCACTCGGTGATACTCCACGTTGAATCTGAAGTCGTCCGTGGCTACCTGCCAGCGCATTCCAAGGATCTTCTGCTCAGCCTCACCCCATCCGACGCTCTTGACTTGTCCGGGTGGTCCCAACGCCGCTTCCACGATGGGTGAGCTGGATGAAAACTGGCATAACTCGAATCCAGCCTCCGCATGTATCTCCTTCACTCGGGTAGATACACTTATAGCTTCGCTCTCTGTAGCGAAACTGTCCACATAGTCATCGACGTAGTGGTAGTCGATGATGGCCTTGACTGCCCTCGGGTCTGAATCCCGAAACTTCAGGGCATTTACCGTCTTTACGTAATGCGCAGCGCTCGGCGAGCAGGCTGCTCCAAAGGTCATTACGTTCATCTCGTACACATCCGGGTCTCGATCGTCGTTGCCATCCCTCCAAAGGAATCGTTGGGAACATCGATCCTCGGGTCGGATCAGCACTTGGTGGAACATCTCCTTGATGTCACCGCAGACTCCGACTGCTCCTTCCCTGAAGTGGAAGAGCACGGCTGGCAAGGGCTTGTAATGCTGAGGCCCCTTGTCCAGCGCCGAATTTAGCGAGGTTCCTCCAACCTTGGCTGCAGCATCGAACACAAGCCGGACCTTACCGGGCTTGTTCGGGTTTTCGACACCAAAATGTGGCAAATACCATAGCCGGTCGCTCGTCACCGCGACCTCATCCTGCTGCAGCTTCCTCGCATATCCTTTGGATACGTAATCCTTGATGATACGATCGTATTCCAGCGCCAACTGCCCGTTGCGCTTCAACTTCTTCTCCACATTGATCAGCCGTCTGTGCGCCATCTCATAGCTCCGTGGCAGCACAGCGTAGTCGTCCTTCCAGAGTAATCCCGTCTGGTAGCGACGCCCCACTTTCACCGTGGTATCTTCGAGGATCCTTTGTGCCCGCGCGTCATCGCTGCCTGCGACCTGTGGCGCGAGCTTCACACCAAAGCTTTCCATCTCGAAGTAGTCCTCCACCATCTTTTCCATCGTATCATCCATTGACACGGCTAGAAGGCAGGACCTCGGTGACGGCGTAGTCGATTGCCCACTTACTGGCCCAAACACAACCCATCCAAGCTCGGTTGCGGCCGCATACGGTCCCTCTCTGGCAAACCGCCTCGTCCTAAGTGGCAATCCCAAATGTCCATGGTCCAGTCCGATGAGCAACTTAGGCACCACGTTGATGTAGGGCTTCATCGGCAGACGCGCATCCTTATGCACGCCCTGGACATCTCGTCGACCTAACGTCTGCATTGGCAGACTCAGGCTCGAAACGGAGTACACGTTCCTCAAAACGTGGCGAGTGGACTTCCCAGCTCCACTTATCTCTAGGCTCACCACGTTGCTGGGCTCTCTGCTGGCCCTTCCTCCAAACCATTGTAAATTCAGCTGTCGATGCACGCCTCGCACTCCCAGATCCCTCCGTAGCTCGTCATCGATCATCGTGACGGAGGATCCTTCATCCAAGAGCGCGTATGTATCCACCTGGCGACCAGCTCCGTACAGCGTTACTGGCAGTATACGGAACAAAAGTCGGCCTCCTTCGGCGTCAACGCAGTTTAAGTTCCTCTGCACGGGTGCCTCCGCTGGCTGCGGGGCCCTTATCTCCAGGCTGTTTCTGGGGACAGCCGACTGTAGGCTCCCCTCGTGGTCCCTGTAACCACCTCGTGGCGAAGACCTCCTGCCCGGGCCGCGTCTGGAAACTGCTGACTGCTGGTTTCCTCCGTTGTGGCTCCTGAAGCCACCTCGCTGCGCCGGCCATCTTCGCTCCTCGTCCGCACCATGTAGCAGACGGTGATGCAATCTGCGGCATCCGTTGATCTGGCACTCGCCATGTACATCGCAGGTTCTGGTCGTATGTCCACTCCGTAAGCATGTGAAGCAGAGCCGATGCCTCCTCACCATGCTCCACCTACCCGGTGGCGAAGCTCCAATGAACTCCCTGCAGCTCGTCGCAGCATGTTGCCCTCCACAAATTGGACAATTTCCATGCCGATCATCCTGTTGATCGCATCCGTTCTGGTCGACGCTCGCATGTAGAACTCGACGCCTCGGCTCCTTTCCCTCGACGTCCAAAACCGTACACACGACGTTTGCGTACTCCTGCAGCCACACGCTGAAGTGCGCCACAGTGGGAAAGGGCTCGATCGATGCAGCGTGCCTGGCCCAGTCTACTCGCTTGCTCGTAGGAAGCTTTGCCACAAGCTCCTCCATTAGCGTTGGGTTCCGCAGGTGCTGCTCCGCCTTCGCTGACTGCAAGAAGGCCGTGAGGTTACTCACTCGGGTTGCGAAGGGAACGATCCTCGCCAGGTGCTGCTCCGAAATCGGCGGCACCTCTCGCACGCTGTTCAGCTGGCTGCGTATAAGCTGCTCCGGTCGGCCGAACCTAAAGCGCAGCTGCTCCATCACGGCGCTGACGTTCCCAGGGTGAATCAGCAGCGACTTCACTGTCTCGCGTGCTTCATCCTTCAGCTCCTTCAACAACCTCTGGTTGTTCTCCAAGTCTTTGCAGTTGTATGCTTGGGTCGTCTCCACAAACGCACAGTTAAAGATCGGCCACTCCTCGGGCTGCCCTCCAAATACAGGCAGGTCCGGAAGCTTCCTTGGCCCGTACACTCTTTGGGATTCATTCGGCGTTATCGGGGCGTAGGACCCAACAAATGGCGATGCTGTTGCCACGTTGTGGGTGCTCCCGCCCGGTAGCACGAATCCATGCGCTGTCTGCGCAACACTTGTAGCACACAGTGGCTCCACAAAATGATTGCTAGTCGTTAGCAATGGCGGTCCACTCCAAGATGGCGGCAGCGTGCAGGCCGCACTACTCGCACCGACACCGCTATGTGGGACCGGCCCGACCCCGTTAGTTGAGGCCTCACCGTTAGATGTGGCTAATGGCGGTCCGCTCCAAGATGGCGGCCGCCCCGACGCTCCACTGATGGCGCCATCTGCGCTTGGGCCAACTGCGATTGGCGCGCAATTGGCGGTGCTCACACTGTTCAGGGCTTTAACCTGCTTTAGCTCCTCCTCCAACGCCGCAATCCTTTTCAAAAGGTCCGACGTGAGGGACTGGTTCGTCTCCGGCTCTGATCCCGCAGCTGTGACAGCAGTACTCCTCGGTTGGGACGCTACTGTAGTCACCGTAGTGGCTGGGCTAGAAATGGCCGCCGCCGAGGTTATGTTCACTCGCGGCCGGTTTTCTGCTCCACTACTCACTGGCTGCTGATCCGCTCGCGCTGCTGTAGGGGTGGCTTCCCCTCCTCTCAGCCGCGAGCTCCTCTTCGGGGAATGCTGCATCCTAACAGGTCCAAATACGGCGCTGCCTCAGCGCTCTCCAAAATGGCGGCACCTGTGCCTTCTGGCCGCTGGCTGCGGCAGGCGATGCTTGACGCTCCTTGCGTCTTCTGGCCCGCTGTCTGCGGACCCCGTGCTTGGCGCTCCTTGCGCCTCCTGACCGCTGTCTGCGGTCTCCTTAACTGACGCGGCCTGCGACTCCTTCCGTACCCAGTGTTCGGCGCTGTCTGCGCCCGTCTATGTCGCTGCCTGCGACTCCTCTACTGGTACGGGAATTGCTCCTGGCAACTCTCTAGCTGGTCGTCAAGCCGTCCTCCAGCGCAAGTTGCCCTTACAGTCTCCCTAGGACTGCGAATAAAAGGAGTTGTCTTGCATCATATGGAGTTGCCTTGTTAACGACTACCCCACACGCGTAGGTCCGAAGAGAGGGTGAACTTTAAGGGCGGCGTGCGCCTGGTGGCGCTCGATTGGTGCGATCGGGGCGATCGTTTTATTCTGTTAACAATTCAAATCAGCCTCATACATTTCAAACTAACTTAATCTTACCGCAGTGTGCCCTCCTACGATTCACAAGACAATGAAAAGCACAATTTATGGCGGCATCCATTAAACCGATATTAGTAGGCCCGCACTTCAAGGGCCAAGAAATCCATACGAGATCGGATAAATTAACAAATACTAGATTTCTCTTACAATACTTAGTCTACCTATCGATTACAATGTTCGACCGTCGACAGCTTCTAAACAGCTCCGTTGACGTAAGATCATTACCTTTTAAGCCTAGTACTCAGATCGGCTAAGAGTTTCACTAGTCGAAAAATCTTATTCCTTGCATCGCATGTAGCATGGCCCTACTGTCAATCAGCGGGTTTTGTTTTATTAACAAACAAAAAGTTGTAGGATTTTGAAAAACCAATCTGCTGGTGCACAAAGAAATACAAATAAATGGAATGTTCAAAGGATGTTTTTATTTATGTTACTTAGTAGTTTAAGGCTTCCTTCTCTTGTCACGGATGCTTCGCCATTTTCGTCGCGCCATTTGCTGTCCAGCTCCGATTCGTAATATGCCAACAGCGTCCTGCAGCTTTAGCGTCCAAGAAGCTGGTGGAGGTGGAGTCCTGTGATTCCCCAATGGAGAGCTCGTTGGAAATCTTATTACTGGTGGTTCTGCTAAAAATATACTTCTATTAGTACAACGTTACCAAATTGTTTTGGCCAGAACTTACATTCTTTACGAGGACAAGCCCGGCAGGATGTCCATATAGGGAGCGAAGTCGCACTCGGCATGTTCTTCCCACTGGGATTTTCTAGTGGATCTTCTCCACCACTTCAACTATTCTGCGGATTAGCCCTGTCAATACCACAATAATGGTCAACAGCTTCGATTAGGAGTCCTTTTTCATCTGCATTGACATCCTGCAGGCGCTTTTGGGGCTTTCCTTCCATTTTTTTCGTTTCTATATCGCGTTTGTACAAACACCGCCAAAGATTAAATTTCTTATTCTTTGGGCCGCGGCTTCTAAAGCGCTTTCAAACCCTAGGTAGCTACACACTTCCGAACCTTGCGGCCATTCAGGACGTAAGCATTCAAAAACTACTATGTTTCTTAAGAAGAACAGAATACTTCGCGAAGGCAGAAAACCCATGAGCTAGGGAAACGGATCTTTCAGAGATCATGTGGTATCACAAGTGGCCCATTGTGGCCTAAGTGAGGGGACTAATATAACGGCGTTCATCGAAATTCACTCGCTAATTTTGTAACTTTTTTGGTTATGGCTAGCTCGCGATGTGAGTCAAATATGTGGAAAATCTTTGGATGCCGGGTTAGCCCGCAGTTACACGCCAAGGAATGTCCACAGTTAGCTTTACCGTTAAAATTCCCTAGGACTTACATCGGCGAAAACTGCGGGCTAACCATAGGAGCGAGCGAGAGGCAAGTACGCGGCTAACGCTTTTTGTCGGGTCTGTTTTTCAGGCGGTACTCAGATGAGCTAAGGAAATACCAAAAAAATATTTAATTTTGCGAATTTTGAATTTCGATAAACGCCGTTAGCCGCGGCCCATAAACAAAGAAATATAATCTTTGGCGGTGTTCGTGCAAAGGCGGTCTGGAAACAAACATGAAATATGAAAGGAAAACACCAAAAACGCGTGCAGGATGTCAGTGCAGATGAAAAAGGACGCCTAATCCAAGGTGTTGCCCTTTATTGTGGGACTTCACCGACAGGAAGCATTACCATCCCCAGTATAGTTGAAGTGCTGGAGTAGATCCACTAGAGAAGCCCAGTGAGAAGAAAAATACCTAGTGTAACTTCGTTCCCTATATGGACATCCTGCCGGGCTTGTCCTCACAAAGAATGTAAGTTCTGGCCAATAGAATTTGGTTACGTTGTACTAATATAATTGTTTTTTTTTGCAGAACCACCAGTAATACGATCTGCAACGAGATCTCCATTGAGAAAACAAAGGATTCCCCCCGCCAGCTACTAGGCAACTAAAGCGGAGACAGAGGACGCACTGGCTTCGGTAGGGAGGAAGGAAAAAGGGCGGCCTCTAAGGGACAGCTGGAGGAGCCATTACCAGCCATTGCGAGGATCCTGGGCGACTTCCTGCAGCATCATCGTCAACATCACTTTCTGAATTTTACAACATATAGGAGCAGATAATAAAACTTAGAAAAAGTTTTTAAAACGATTCTTTAACCAATCCAATAAAATATCCTCATGAAATTGCTTTAAACCGAAATTAAAGAACACAGTAGACGTTTTCCATCAGAAAAATAGTAAAAAATTAAGGGATTTTAACTTTGTCTTCATATTCCAAAGACTTGGGAAATGGTGCAAGATGAGGGACTACTTTTTAGCAATGCAGTCATGTATTGAGATTGTGTTATATCAAAAAATTTAAGATAAGTCCAGTTATGTAGGCCACATTTCATTTAATTCAAAGTGTGTACCATCATCTGGTTTAAGTATTCTTAGCAGTATCGCGGAACCTGTAGGTAGGGAAAATAATTTTGTATGAGAGTTTTACTCAGGAGCACCCAAATAACATGGAAAACTAGAAATGGTTCGTGGAAACTTCACAAAGTTCAATTTTATGTTATTGTGCAAAAGGCTTGTAAGTCTGCCTATTTTAAAGCCATTATCGATAAGCTAGCGACTTTTTTAAAAAATGTTCGAAATAATGTTTCTTATATCGAGCTGTTTAACACCATTTAATTGTTTCCAGGGCCTGAAAATAAAGTTTTGATCTGCACAAACGAAATTCCATGCTCATACAACGTTAGTTGTTCTGTACTGGTAAATGTGGTCATTTTTGTTGATCAGTAACTTTTAAACGTGACTTTTTACAACATTTGAAATGTAAAAAAAACTTTGTTTCATAATTATACTAGATTCGTCGGAAAGTATGTATCAGGTAGAAGGAAGCTTTTCCGACCCCATAAATTATTTATATTCTTGATCAGAATCACTAGCCGAGTCGATCTGGCCATGCCCGTCTGTCGGTTACTATTACTGAGTTTATGCGATGGCCATTTCACGCTTTCATTTCATGAAATGGTCTGATTCGTGTGTGCATAAACACCGTTTCATGAATTCGACAACACACGAAAGTTGACTATGAATTCAACCTCAAAGCGTGAAATGCGTAAAACATATACTATGTACTACATACATATACTATATTTATGCTAAGGGTTTCATGATTTCTTAAAAGCGTGAAATAAAATTTGTTCCTGTTTCTGCGACACGGCCGAATTCATGCATTTTATCAATCTCAGCTGATAGAGATGCCGGTGGAAAACGGTGTGTGCGATAAATCAATTATTTTAATCGAAAAAATAATCGGTTTAATAATCGCTAACACCTTTTTCCATTGGTCCGGCATCTCTATCAGCTGAGATTGATAAAATGCATAAACAGGAGCAAATTTTATTTCACGCTTTTAAGAAATCATGAAACCCTTAGCATAAACATAGTATATATTTAGTATATCATGAAACCCTTAGCATAAACATTGTATATATTTAGTATATGTTTATGCTAAGGGTTTCATGATTTCTTAAAAGCGTGAAATAAAATTTGCTCCTGTTTATGCGATACGGCCGAATTCATGCATTTTGTTAATCTTAGCTGACAGAGATGCCGGAGCGGTGGAAAAAGGTGTGTGCGATTATTAGGCCGACTATTTTTTTCGATTGGCATGAAGTAATCCTGCTAGTATTAAAGATAAAGTGTGTGTAGGCCAGTATAACATTTTTTCTACTGTCAAAATAAAAAATGAAAACTAGTTTCCATTGGCACTGAATTATCAAATAATATGTTAAATGTAAGGTGTATTAATGTATTTATATCGATCTGGCAAATCCGATAATCATATACGGGGGTGTCACAAAAATCCCTTCCAACCAAATTTCCCCCGAAAAGCAAATCTCGGTATCACAGACGTCATTTTTGACGATAATTTCCCGTATTTTGACAGACGTTTTGATAAAATAATCCAACTTAAAAATCCTTTCCAAAAATACAATTTAATTTAAGACAACTGTTTGTGGGGAAGACAACAAATATGCCACCCTTATATTTATAATTAATAACGCACGAATAGGTTATATTAAAATGTATAGCGTTTATTCGGAGCGGCAGACGGACTGTGAATGTGTAAAAAGCTTGGCTCCAAGATCTTCATATAGACATATGCAGGCTTACAAAGTAGTTGCTGAATAGATAAGCGACAGCTTTATGGGTATAAGAAAGAAGGCAAAAGATAAGCAGAGAGCGATGCAGGTGCCGTCGTACACCTATGCGCGCATGACTAGGCGCTGGCGATCTGCTCCGAACAACAACACTAATAAAATCTAAGAACTATCTGCATATGACATTTTGTATAGTTACTTCGGGTTGTATTTAAAAACAAGCATTTTATAAACCGTCATGACAAAATTAAATTAAAACAAGAAAGGAAGTTAACTTCGGCAAGCCGAAGTCTGTTATAATATTGCAGTTATAATTATTACATTTAAAAATACAAAAAATGATATTCCCAATAGTATAAGATAATAAGTCAAAAAACACTAAAGCTACAATTTGTTTCATATAATTTTCACACCAATTTTCCGATTCCGTTCCTATGACAGTCGTCCGATTTTGATAAATTTAAATTCGAAATTCAGAACTAATTAAAAAATGTTATTTCAAAGCGTAGGAGGTTATATCTTAAAAAACACCGAAGCTATAATTTGTTTCATATTATTTTCCCACCAATTTTTTGATCGTTCCTATGGCAGCTATATGATTCGAAATTAAAAACTAATTAAAAAATTTTGTTTCCAAGCTTAGGAGGTTATATGATAAGAAACGCCAAAGATATCATTTTTTAAATTTTTTTTCCGATTATCCTATGGGAGCTCAAATATATAGTTGTCCGATCCGGCTGGTTCCGACTTATATACTACCTGCAACATAAATAAGACTTTTCAGCCCGATAGCTTTACAACTGAGAGACTAGTTTGCGTAGAAACGGACGGACAGACGGACATGGCTAGATCGACTCGTCTAGTCATGCTGATCAAGAATATATATACTTTATGGGGTCGGAAACGTCTCCTTCACTGCGTTGCAAACTTCTGACTGAAATCAATATACCCTCTGCAAGGGTATAAAAACAAGATTTTCTACTTCTTCCCAAAATGAAATGAAATTTAATCTTTGGCGGTGCTCGTGCAAA